GGGGGGGGGGGGGGGGGGGGGGGGGGGGGGAGGAGAGTACACGTGTGGAGGTGTGACTTTGTTTTTGGTTTGGCTTGGAGTGTGCCTCCCATGCCATGGCATCGATTTGTGTTTGAGTTCTATCTTTAGCCGGGAGAGGAAGGGAGGAGGAGGAAGAGAGGAGGAGGTACGGAAGAGAAGCGGGAGAGATTTCGTAGTGCACACTAGGCAACAAGGAAGGGCCGTAACGACGACTTCGAAGAAGGCGACTTAGTGATGGGACATTCCCCGGCCCTGCAAGGCACCATCGTTGCACCAGCAAATTTAGCCCGCGAAACGTCATCAGTCCATCATGAACTCTCCCACCTCTCCGCGCGCTTGTTCATGAACCTGACGTCGTCGCTTGTTTCCCTCGGTGCTGTTCGTCGTGAAAAACACTGGGATCGCGATGGCGCTGCTGGACGGTGTTGCTTTTTTTTTCGTGTGCAAGTGGGGAGACTTCTCCGCGTTCATGGACGCCCGAGCCAGAGTGCTGGAGTCTGATTCGTGGGAGGTGAGGCAAAACACCGGGGCCACGTGTGTCCGTGTCCGTGATCGTCGCCGCAGCTGTGTGTTCGCAAGAGAAGCGAAAGCTATGTACGCACGCATAAATGTATGAGGCAGGCAAGGAGAAGGCTTGCTCCTCGGAGGTTGTCAGGGATCAGAGCCCGATCTCTGCTGGCCAGCCACGATTATGGTTCTGTCTGTTCCTCCGGGTATGTGTTTCGTATTCTCGTCGATACATTGCCATCGCGAACAGACGTGCCAAGCAAACAAACCGCGGCCAAGTTACGGCGATTAAACTCACACGAGTTGTTGTTTGTCCTCCCTTTCCCTCTTTGCGGTCGCGGAGCGAAGTTCATGGTTTCTGTACATACACATGAACGAAATGTTGCCATCGTGTGTAAGCCGTAGATGCGAAGTTTGTCTGCGCGGAAGTCGAGGCTGCTACAAGGGAGAAATGTCTCTCTCCAGGGGGTTGTAATTTATAACACCGACAATCCGCCAATTTGGTTATCCGCATGTATATGAAACGCCCCGTCAGAGCTGAAAATCCTCCTGGGGGAGGGTGGGGGGATCAAGGTGTCGGCTTCGGCGTTTCGGCCTTGTCCTAGCCGTCAAACTAGCCTGGGTTTTTATCCCGCCAAACCTAACCCTACGTCTGTTCGGCGTATGACTGAACCCCGTGATTGTGGAATCGCGCATTCCGGCGCTCACCATCCAGTTCCCAGTGTCAGAAAATGTTGTGTCATATTAAGAAAAAAAAAGAAGAGAAAATGGCGGTGAAGGAGCCTTCCTTGTTTTTGCTCGACCCATGGCTTTCCATCTAAAAATCGCAAAGCGCATCATGCTTGGCTTCACCCACACACCCCACCCAAACGACTAAATAATAAGGCAAACCATATATTGTGAGCGCACCCGCCCCCCGAAAAAAACCACCCACACCCGATTACCCTCACACTCGGCCTTTCACTGCTGCCGCCATCGCCGCCGCTTCTGTTGCCGCTGCTGCCGCCGCTACTGCTGCTGCTGCTGCTGCTGCTGCTACTACTGCTGCTGCTGCCGCTGCCTCTGCTAACGACAGGGGGGCGAGGCGCTGGCACACGTCCCGGGGGGCGAGGTGGCGCTCTCTTGGGCCGGGTCCCTCGAGCGGTTCCTGGCAGAGTTTTGCCACGGCAGGGGCCTCGGCATCCTTCACCCGAACCTCAACGGGGACGTGAGCTTCGCCCGACAGTTGCCGCCATCCTCGTCCTCCTCCTCCGCTTCCTCGGGTGGCAGCGGGGGTGGAGGGTGGCTGGAGGAGGAGGAAACGCCTCTGCTGTCGCAGACGGCCCACACGCCGACGCCGACGCTCAGGGGGACCGCGGATGACGGGGGGGGGGGGCGCGAGCCGGAGGGGCTCGTGTTGACGTACCGGGACGCCAACAACTTAGTTGTGAGTCGGTCGCGTCTTGAGGTGTTCTTTTTCGGTCGAATGGTATCGAAAGCGTCGCGCGTGCGTTGTCGGAGCGAGCGTTTGCGCGCGCGGCTCGCCGCTGTAGCGTACGTTATCACCCTGTGCAAAGGGGTTACCCGTAAGAGACGGAGAGATGGCACCCCCCCCTGGATCGACTTTCAAAGCTCGATTGCTCCACGCCCAAGATTGTCTGTACCGTACCGCATACCGTACCGTGGTATTCCGTAAGAGTCGGAGAGATGGCACCCCCCCTAGAGCGATTTTAAAGCTCGACAACCAATGAGGAGCGGAAAGAGCCCGTGCGTCTACGGAAACACCTCGTCGAGATGTTTCCGAAACGAACATTCTTGACGTTGGCGCAAGCTTGGTTGTGGAGCAATGGAGCTAGGAAAGTCGCTCTAGAGGGGGGTGCCATCTCTCCGCCTCTTACGGAATACCACGGTACGGAATACGGTACGGCACAGACAATCTTGGTTGTGGAGCAATGGAGCTTTGGAAGTCGCTCTTGGGGGGGGGTGCCATCTCTCCGCCTCGAACAGTAGTGAATGCTTGTTGGTAGCGCTCGGCACGGGCACACGTCACAAAGGGTAGTGCATGGCTTGGCTTCTTCAGACCGTCGTGGCCCCGGCACCGGCAGCCGGGGGAGGTCCGCAGCACGCCAATCAAAGTCTCGCCTGCAAGTGCTTGGTGTATATTATAGTAGTAGACGCCGGTATTTGAAGTGCGTTTTTGGTGTCGTCCTGTGGATAAATGCTCTCTCCTGTTTAACGTGAGAAAATCTTCCCTTACCCTTCAACGGCCTCTCAATCCCTCTCTGGGCCTTCACCAACCTCTCAACTGCTTTGTGTTCCTTCAATCTAAGGCCGCTTTTCGTTTTGTCTACGTACAAGTAGTCGACCCTCATTTATTTTTTTTTCATTATTTTTTTCAGGTAAAATACCCGTCGGTGTCCTCCGTGCCTGCGTACGACCTCCTGTCCCGGAGACATCGGGACTTGACGCACCTGCGGCTCCAGGCGTACCGATTCTTCCAACGCTTGCGAGCGTCGGTCGAGAGGAACAAGGACCTAGAGGACTTGTGGAAAAGGCCCGGGGTGCCGAAGCCGAACTACGCGCTCGCCAAATTCCTGGTGAGCGAGATCGCCAACTCACTACAGCAGTCGCAGTGACGGGCAAAGATCACGGCAGTATCGGGACACGGCACTATTGAGTGTTTGGGACTATATGTGGTAGCCAAATCCCGCGACGAGCGTTTTTTTACCGCGGTATACCGGGACCACCACCGTAATAGCTAACAACTGATTAGCGCGCTGTTGGCTGTTGTGGTGGCCCTCCCGGTAGCGGTCGTTCTGGCCTGACAAGGCAAGCACATCCCCTTAGACTGCCTGTGATTGTCTTTTGGGTTTTCTAGAAACGGAATTTCCGTGTTGCCACAGCAGTCTATTTTATGTTTCCACAAGTGAACCAAGGGGCTTGCCCTTCTTTTAGCGCGAAAGCCCCAGCTGGCGTTTATCGGGATTCACCCCCATGTGTGCATGTACTTTTTCACACACACACGGTAATGTTGGTGAGCAAACGGGCGGCTCGTGTGCGGCATGACAGATATATATATATATACCACTCATGCGACACCAACCTGCGCTCTCATGTCGTATCGGAGGTGATCTGCCGGGCACCGGGGACGGCACGTAGTCTACCCTTGGAGTTCAGAGAATCATAGATGTGTGGCTGTCGATTGTATCGTTTCAGTAGTGTGGCCTTACATTACAAATCACGGGAAAAAGGGGATCGAGAGAAAATGTGGGTGGGGTGTGGGGTGGCTGCGTTCGCCGGCGGCGGTATTTGGTGGCACATTCACACCGGTGTTTTTTAAGTGTTTTGGTTTTGCTCACTGGGTCTCTCTGACCACCCGACGTTTGTTTTGGCTGTGCGTTAAGGCCGTCTGAGGATTTTCCCACCATAGTACGTAGCCACCATGCTGACAGCCATAGTGCAATCGTGCTGCTGCTGCTGCTGCTGCTGCTGCTGCTGCTGCTGCTGCTGCTGCTCCCACACCGCTCCCGGCCGTAGATCTACCAACCACAGTTTGGGATGGGCAACCAGCTTCGAGCGTTGGACGCGGCGTTAGCGGTAGCGAGGGTGCTAGGCCGGGTGTTGGTGGTACCCGACTACATTTCCGACAATGGAGAAGGTGAAAGCGGCCACCGACCTCCTGCTGCTCCTGCTGCTGCTGCTGCTGCTGCTGCTGCAGCGGCGACGACTTTGGTTTTTTTCCACTACTACTGGTACACAGCAGTAGTTCTGACCCACGATTGACGAGAAACACGCCTTGGCAGCCAAGAAACCCCAGGCTCAGATGGCCGAAGGAAACAGAAAAGCGCCGCAAGAAAGTTAGCTCGGCCGCCGGCGCTACACAAAGTCCTATACCTCTCTCGCGAGGTAACTTGGTAACTTTTGTTGACATGCCGCGAGGCTTTTGATCCTTGCTCAAATAGTTGGCGCTTATTAATTTTGGTGTTTCGTGGGAGTGCGCGCCCGCGCTGCCGTACCTCCTCTTTTCCGCGTGGTGTCATGCCATGACTTTTGGTTAAGAGTTGCGTTGCACAGGCGTCGAGGGCGCCGCCGCAGGCGCGCCGACGACTGGAGGCAAGAGAGCCGGCCGACGCGTGCATGTCAACAGCAGCAGCACCCCTCTACGGCCCTGATTTTGATGAGAGGAGGTCGACGGAATCCCGTTCAGTTTTCGTTTATGGAACGCCGCATGCCCGCCGTATATCCGCGCCCGCCCGGACGGGAAGACCAAGACCAAGAGCAACGTTATTCGCATATTACCCCGCCCCCCTGTTAACAAAGTAGGAAGGAACGATTGGCCATCATCGGTGATCGGTCTTGTGGGAACAGTGCTCCGTCCTCTCGAGGACGCGTGGTCAATGGCCTTACCATTAAGGCATGCGCAACATAAGAGTACGCCCCCCCCCCCCCCCCCCTCCCCCTGTTGTCTCATCAGGGAGGCCGGTACGCTACGATGCGATCTGGGAGTTTGGCTTCCTGGAAGAATTGGTGGGACGAAATAACGTCATTCTTCAGGCGGACTTCTACGACCTCTTGCAAGACTGCGACGTGAGAGAGGAACGAGGGGTGTTGGTCGGCGTGTGTGTGTTTTTTTTATTATTAGCATCGACCGCGCTAACCGGCTGACCAATGAAAATACGTCAGTCTTAGTGCGGTTGAAAGCACAAAACGCTTCTATCTGCCATGAACCGGGACCTCGTGAGGGGGCAGCATGTTTGTGCTTGTGTGTGTGTGTGCTGCCCGGTGCACTTGCCTTTTGGCCGCGTCACCGTCTCGAGTTAAGGTTGTGTTTTGGTACGCAGCAGACGCGCTGCTCAATTTTACGGACGGTGGCGTGTGACGTGCACAACCCGTGGGATCGAGCCCACACTCCTCTTTGAACCGATGATTATTTCAAGCATGAACTTCTTCTCCGAGGCAATAAGGAAAGAGCCATTGACCCATTAAGGTTTTGAACAGCAGGTTTTATCATCGCAGCTTTTCCGATACCGTATTGTATGATCGGTATTTTCACCCCCTCGCTGATACACATACTAAGTACATGGGAGAGATCGAGCTCCGCGAGCAGCGGCGCTGACGTTGGTGCCCTTGGAGTGAAACACACGGGGCCTGAACCGCCGCCAACAAATAGTGTCGACCGACGCCACGCCAACGGCGACTATTTGCCACCGATGCTGCTGTAGGTCGTACGGCCGCCGACCAAGGTTTACCTGGCGGACATGCCCATCAAGCAGCTCGCGGGGAACGACGAGTACTTCGGCAGGATGGGCTGGGGAGAGCTCCCTAAGGTGCGTGGTATGTAGTTTTTGGTTTCACTTCTTTTTTCCCGGAGTTTGTTTATTTCTCATGGAATGATGAGGGGCGGTTTTGCCATGGCTGCGCGCGGAGACCAGGCCGGCGGGGGGGGGCGGGGGGGGGGGTGCACCGGTTTCCGTGTATGTATGTGAACGAGACCTTCCTGTGGTAGTACGGAAGCGGCAGCCTTCTGGCAGCTGCGGCGATATGCCCCGCGTTTGGATTGGGCGTGAAAGATGGCGTGACGTGACGGGGCTTGGCCCCTCGCTCGACAGCAGCGAGCCTCGATTTTGGAAGTATATATAGCAAGATCCCGTTTGGATGTACACACAAGCTAGACTGGGGAGGAGGGAAGAAAGGCCTCGAGCGAAGCCAAACGGACGCTGGCACACTCGCCGTTTTTCCTCGCTGGCTGCCCGCCAGAGTGCGCGTGAGAGGGGACGTACATGTATTTAGCTGTCGTGACCCAAGAAGGGGAACACGGAACACGGAGGCGAGCCGGAGGGCGTCGACCTCCAAATACGCCGCCAGGGCAAACACCTTTTCTTTGTACTTGTCGATTTCCATGTTGCCACTAGAGGGCCTATGCCTCGTTTTCTTTTGTCTATTTTCATGTTTGCTCGACGCGTGTGTTCTCGATGCCTCCCTGCTATGGTTGTTCTCTCCTACTTCAGCTGCTCTGTTAAGACGCGGGGTCGTCCTTGCTTGAGACCTTTGTATTGTATAGATGACTCTAACCCGGAAGATTTCCGTCGTCCCCCCCCCCCCCCGGCAGGTCCCGCTCCCGTTGGCGAACGCTACGGAAGCCGGATGGTCCGAACTGCAACAAATGGAAGATCAGGTTCTGGCCGTCTCCGCAATGTTCGGCATGTTCCAGGTGAGTTGAAAATTTAAACAAGGCACTGCTGCTACTGCTGTTTGTGCCGCCCAAAAGACACACGGCGCCGGGTGTTTTGTCGCCGCTCTCTGTCCCCGTTTTTGTTTGCCGCGGGGTGGGTGGATGAATGGATGCCCCCCGAGACCACCTTCGCTTTTGAAAGCCTATGTGAGCCGGGTGAAGAAAGGTGTGCCACGACCATCCAGGCACGGGGCCGCCGCGATAGCTTGTAAATAAGAGTAAACTACTGGGGCGCAGGGCTCCTGCAGCTGCGGCAGTGCGAC